TAACCCATAGGACAGAGAGACCACAGATGCTTGTGTGGCCTCTTATATTGCAGATAGGATACAAGGCAGCATTTTGTTGCAGTTTTATTCCATTTCAGACATCAAGGCTTAGCCTTTTTTAGTTCTAGCTCCAGAGGACGTTTTAAAGTCTTGTGGCCACTGTCTACAGTGCAGTAGAGCTCAGTGCTACAATTTCATTTCACAAATACCACTGTGGACTTTAGAAGCCCAAACCTGGGCCCACAGACTGTACACTATCTTCTCTGTATGGTTCAAAAAGTCCTTATAAATGCAGTAGAGAGCAAAAATACTGACAGGACCCATCAGTGCAGTGCAGCTCCTTTCAGCAGGTTTTCATTCATTCTCCCCTCCACAGGTGTGGATGCCCATAGCAAATCACGAGCTGGATTACAACCAAGATTCAAGTCACTTCCTTGCCAAAGCAGCACCCCCTCATACCAGTGATGGCCCACTTACACCAAATCCATTTTTATAGTCCAGGCAACTGCTCGAGTCTCCTTAGAAAGGATTTTTCGGCCATCTTCAGGCCCAGGTTCAGTGGACCATTACACAAATCTTCCTATAACTGCGTTTACTGTGGTCGTTGTTTCTCAAGAGCTGGAAAAACTAGCAAGGATTGCCACCATCTTCCTGCTGTTTTCTTTTCGGTCTCAGTTCCTACGGCTTCAGTTGCTGGCAAAGTGGATCTCTATAGTGCTTCTGCCAAGCAGAATTACTGCTGTTGCTTCAGGGGCTGATACAGCTGTTGGTAAACTTCCACTCTGCTCTCCCATCTATTTTATAAGGAGCTTCAGATTATCTTCTGGGCACAGCTACTGTGTTCTCATTCTGTGTCAGATACAGACTGATCTGATTTTCCTCTAGCCTAGATAAAACGCTCCAACAACTGCTTTAATTAAAAATGGTATCATTTTTGTTTTACGTACATAACACAAACAGAGGAATCCAAGCCATTACAGAGGAAACAACACACTCCTTTAGATCAGGCACAAGCATTCTTCTTCCCCTTCAGATAAGGGAAAAATCCATCCTAACTAGAAAAGGTCCATCGCCCTCACAAAAAAAAAAAAAAAAAAAAAAAAAGTGAAACCTCTACCAAATTTGCTCACTCGCTTCCAAGAGACCTACCTTTATCACTCATCCCTTCCTCCAGGTAGGAGACCTACATAAAGAAGTATTAAATACTTCTCGTACCTCTTGACTGATCCTGGACACCCAGAGTCTACCAGAGTAGAGTTAGCTACCTCTACAAAGCAACCTGTACACTTTTTATACCAGCTCTCACATACTGCTTGAATTAAGCAATAAGCGGCCAAACAAGTGTGGAACTGTAAGTACTATGAGGGCTTAGATTGGAGTTGGGTAAGAGTGATGGAGAGGAGCAGAGCTTGTTGGAGGCAATACCACATAAATCTGAGGTTCCTCCTATGCAATTTGTGTGTTCGTGAGACATCAGACCGCTGTGACATCAGCAATGCTGCAGTATTGCAACATACAAGGCAAACTAACACAAAGCATGTTGTTTTGCAGTACTACAAACATGATGACGCAACTTTGGCAGGAGGAATGATGCTATTGCAATGAAACTCAGTCTCAGAAGACTAGATGGACCTCAGAAGTGTATATACTGGATGGTTTAGGGAAGGTCATCTAATTTCTATTCAAGTAATGATAACAGCTGTCATCTTTAAGATACCTTTATCTTTTGATCCAAAATGTTTGTAAACTAGTTAATTTTTTTTTTTGCATTAGTGAAGTCAGGCTCTGTTTTTTAAGATATTTGCAAATTTAATATTAATCAGCACTGTGCTAATTATTTTAGTCTATGACTAATCCTTAAGAACACTACAGCTATTATATGGCGAGTGTAATAGTAACTAAGTGAATAAGGCAGATTAAGTCTATTTAGAATTACCTATCCAAATATGTACTTTAGAAAAGCATATGTAAGTTTTACAGGTAGGAGATTAAAATTACACGGCTAGAAAGAAATTAACTGTTTTCTTGAGAGCTCTGGTACCTGCTTTTGTCTTGGTTCAATCACACCAGAGAGAGATTTTGAGCATAAAAATTGGTCAGGTTTGAGCTTTGTTTAGAAACTTGCCTGACAATTAGATGCAAAGGCTGTTAAATATATATCATTTTTCTACTGTGCAAGCATAAATTATTTCCTGTAATAAATTTCACCGTACATGTTACCAGGCTGTATATAGATCAGAAATGGATATTTATAATTAGCCTGTATTTGTCTTCACCTCTATCTTTGTTTCCAAGGGTTGCTATGGATAACTGTTCTTCCACCTCCTGCGTTCTCATTTTGCAGGTCTTGTGAGTCTCACAAGGATGAATCTTCTCTTCCATGGCATTAAATATTTATACAATGACCTGATGAAGCAACCTAGGTGAAAATAGGGGCAATACTGCAATAAGTGCTACCTCTTCTTGCTGTTAAACCTAAACAAAAGCATATTGCAGCCTTCCTGTGCCTTCCTAGGACAGCTGCCTCAAGCAGTGTACGCAAACTGAGAAATATGCTAACAAGAGAAACATTTTCAGGAGTTTGCCTCTTCTCTAAACTCATATTTCCCGGGAATGCTAAAATTTATGCTAAGAAGTATGCCCAACAAATGACAAATATGTCCACTTTCATTTACACCAAGCTGAGATCCCATATCCCGTTTCCTTCCAGGGATATTGCCACAGTAATGCATTTACGGGTTGATTTATTTCAACACGTATCTGGGAGTGGTAAGAACTGCAACGAAATACACGCTACAAAATATTGCTGCCTAGCAAGGAAGATTGCTTTCAGCTCAGCATTTCATGCTTTGAGAGACCAAGTTATCTCAAAGAGACCTGTGGCCCCATGATGGGCCAGGGGTATTGCTACCAGAGGGACTTCCAGCCCTTCTCCATGATGGTGGGATGACTTATATTCTGCCCTCCCAGAACCTGGAAGTTGCCAAATGATAGCTGAGAGGGGCTGGGAGACTCGTCATTTTGAGCAGGTGACCTTGCCCTGTGCCATTAGGAGAGGGTAAACTTTTTCCTGGAACTAAATGCAGATTCTGGGATTTACTGCCAGATGAAACCGGAGTGATTATGAACCCCACAGTTTTCAGGGAATCTGCATGAGCCCTGGCAGTGGCCCAGCTTTCCCAGTCTGTAGCCACACGCTCACTTGCTGATTCTCCAGCTCTGCCTGGCACATTGACCCAGCCGGTGGCATGATGGATCAAGCTGCAGCTCCAGGTCACGGGTGGAGGCTTCAAGGTGGCCTTTGGCTCACTTCTGCCCTGCCTCTGCAACACACTGTGCTCTCAGCCAGACTGGGGAGCTGAGACAAATTTTAAAAACCCCAAGGGAAAGCGAGAGTGCTGGAAAGCAGCGCTGCTCCCACACCAGAAACCCTGGCCTGGTGGGGCTCTGTCCTCCTGCAAACCACGTCCTTCTGCACATCTTCTCACATCCCTCTGTCCTCCAGCATTGCTCTTTCTCCTCCCGCATCCCCCTGTCCTCCCACATCCCTCTGTACATCTTCCCGCATCCCCCTGTCCTCCCATATCCCTCTGTCCTCCCGCATCCCCTTCTCCTTCTGCATCCCCCTGTCCTCCTGCATCCCTCTGCACATCTTCCCGCATCCCCCTGTATTCCCACATCCTCCTGTCCTCCCGCCCTCCCGCATCCCTCTGCAGATCCTCCCGCATCCCCCTGCCCTCCCGCATCCCTCTGCAGATCCTCCCGCATCCCCCTGCCCTCCCGCATCCCTCTGCAGATCCTCCCGCATCCCCCTGCCCTCCCGCATCCCTCTGCAGATCCTCCCGCATCCCCCTGCCCTCCCGCATCCCTCTGCAGATCCTCCCGCATCCCCCTGCCCTCCCGCATCCCTCTGCAGATCCTCCCGCATCCCCCTGCCCTCCCATATCCCTCTGTCCTCCCGCATCCCCTTCTCCTCCCGCATCCCCCTGCACGTCCTCCCGCGCTCCACTGCCCACGGACGCTCGCAGCTCCCTCCGGCGGGGACCGCAGCTTCTGCTCCGTGTTTCCCCACGCCGGGGACAGCCCCCCCCCCCCGCGC